GCTCAATGAATCTACTTTTGCAATTTTGATTAACAATTTTATGAAAAATTGGAAATGTTTCCCAATTCCAAAAGGCATTTGCTTCATTTTATAAATTAAATTCATTTATTACTTAAAATATCCAGGTTTTATATTTTATGCTCTTATAAATATTATTATCTTAGCTATATAGAATATTATGATTACATCTTCTTATACATTTTTAATTTTTCACTACATCTAATAATTATTTCATTTTAGTCTATACAATTATTTCATTTTATTCTATACATATACAGTATGTCTGTTTTAAAACATGACCTCCAAATTCTTTGACATTCTTGCTATATAAAGAGGTGAGGTCTATGATTTCTCACTTGATTCTGGGTAAGCTTATGGATGTCTTGATAAGAGATCATGGAAATGGCACTGACTTTTGAGGCTGGTCATAAGGAAGATGCAGCCTCTCTGCCTTGCATGGTAGAATATCTATTTACAGTTCTGAACATTCCACTATTCTTAGGCTGCCATGCTGTGAGGAAGCCAAGCTAAGTGGAAGAAGGGTCATGCATGAGCATTCTGGATAGTTAGCAGTTTAATTTTTTAGGCAGCTCAGCTTAGATACCATTTATGAGTGAAAGAGCTTCTAGATGATTTTAGTCCCCAGCATTGTTGTTACCTCCAGCACCTGAATTTTTTCCAGGTAAGGCTCCACATATCATGGAGCAGAGCCAAGTCATTCCAGTGTGCTCTGCCCAAATTCACAGCTCCCAGAATCCACAAACAAAATAAAATGGTTATTGTAGGTAGCTAAGTTTTGTTCTAGCAATAATAACTGGGACATTTATTATTTAGTTTTCCTTCCTTCCCTCCCCTTCTCCTCCTCCCTCACCATCTCTTCCTCTTCTTTTCTCTCTTTCTTTTTCAGGGATTGAACCCAGGGATACTTATTTACTGTGCCACATTCACAGCCCTTTTTATGTTTTATTTAGAGACAGGGTCTCACTAAATTGCTTAGGGTTTTGCTGGGTTTGAACTCACA